AGCCTGTGCCGGACGATAGGGGTCGACCATCCAGCAGGAATCGATACACTTTGAGGCCGTCTTCCAGGGCATCGTCGGTCGATCCGTCGTTGATGGCGGATGTCGGTGCCCTGGAACTCAACGGCAGCGATTCGGATGTGTCCACTGCCTCGTGGACGACGAGAACCTCCCTGGAAAGGAAAAGACGGGGTAGGCCGCCCACCTCGGGTGAATACGTGGATTTGGCCGCAGCAAAAAGAAGACTGCTTCTGGTGGAGGAGCGGGTGGTGGAGGTACAAGCTGCCGAAGCGGCCGAAGCGGTGTTGGACCCGACTGTGCCGGCACCGCCCCCGTCAAGGTCTGCAATCCCGCTGCCGGACGAGGCCGTACTGGCTCGTGAATTTAGGACGATGCCCACGGCGGCCATCGCGGCACGCGTTCTCGACCTGCCCTTAAGGGCCGCTCTCCATGCGCCTGCATCGACCCTTCCCCGGCCATGTTGGATGTTTGCGAACCGGCCTTTATGCTCTACGCTTTCCCTCGCGCGAAGATGCCCACGTGTTCGTACGATATATCGAAACTTGCTCGACTGACGCCATTATTTATTTACTATCAAATCACGAAAATACGAAAATAGCCAAAACTAATCACCGCGTGCATTCAATATGCCTCATTCGCCCTTTCCCGCACTCTAAATCCCTAATGAGATTTACATTATTAATTATTTAATTTAATTTCTGCGACTTTCTCTCGCAACTTCGACATGTCGCACGACCACGTGTTCGCGCAAATTCTTCTTCGAGGGCAACTTTCACCCTCAAATTGCACTATTTTCACTCGCGATATATAAAAATAATCGTGTTTAAGTCGCGCACATATTTATTTTATTTCACGGTCGGCCCGAACACTCGTTTCCTCGCTTTCGATTACTCATGGGTTTGCACCCCATGCTTTCCCTCGCGTCGTGTGGAGGTCGCCATTACCGAAATTTCGATTTTTATTTATAAATTCATTATTTCACCTCCGATTTTTACAAAACTTTACCGCTCATTTCCCTCACGGTCTCCCCTCACTTCACAACACTATTTATCACACTTCAACCACTTTTTCCCACCAAAATTGAACTTTATCGCGGAGCGACCCCCGAACACGTGCGCTCGCCACGACAGCCAGCCGTGCTCTTAACCTAAACCTAACCTAACCTAACCTAACCGTGACAGCGTTACGCGTGACACCGTTGCGTTATGATTTTGTACTATAGAGAGTATGATAGAGAATGATAGAATACAATATAACCGTGACAGCGTTAGGCGTTACGGATTTCGCGTTACGTTACGATTTTATATTATAGAGTATGATATATCTGAAAAAACGTAACAGCGAATATAACGAATGATAAGACAAATAATAAATATATCGTCAGGAACGAGAATAAAACACACACGGTTTTGATGAAAGTAAAGAATAAATGTATTTAATATAAAGTATTTACAACGTGACGCGCACTCGAGACTATATTTCAAACGACTAACGACTAACTTTCGGAGCACGGTTGTCGCCGTTGCGACAATACACAAAACCGAAAAATAAACAAACTAACTCAGAGAGGGCAGCAAGATGTCGAATCGATCTACATCGATCTATTCTATCATATATTATATTAAGAATTCATAGTTTAAAGAACACATTATATTCAGACAGATTATTTGTCAAAAATATTATATTTATATTCAGCTAAATTATTTTAGTGCTTTCTTATTGTTATACTACTACATAATTTTCTAGCAAGTATGCAGTGTTACATTATAAAATTGACTTCATAGCACGACAGTTAGAACAATTGGGTCATGTACCTTACACTAACAATTTTTTATCTAGAACATAATGTATCAAATGGAATTCTTCTTTTCTACTTTAATTTAAAAGGATTAACCAACAATACTAATTTCTGTTCTAATTTAAAAAATTGGTTTCGTAATGTATGTTGAAAATTATGAAAATACACAAAGGTTGCAAAACTAAAACAGCTGTGTCTTTTAAACAAATTCAAAATCAGGAGAATGCTTTAAATTATAAATTTTTTTCATTTGAAGAATTAATTTTACAACTGATATTAAATGTAATAGCAATGGACAAAATCATTTGGACTGATTGCTAGTTTTAGTGTTAAACAATCACATTCTTATGTATTCAATAATGAGATAACAAGTTGTGTTTATTATTCACTATTAGAGTGAATACTCTGTGTAAATACATCTCCATAAAATTCTTTGGGTAATCAGAGATGTAGATAAATAAATAGATAAGGAAATAGATATATAGATAAATAGATCGAGAAGAAGTGAAAGGGAAGATCAGATTATTTGTTCGAATACGGACCCCTGTGTAGTTAACTTTTTTAGTCGTCTATTATTGGAGCGAAAGGCTTCTACCTACCGCAGGCCACGTGCACGTCTCTCTCCTCATTTTTAAGGAATTAATCAGAGCTAATTGCCAATCTGTAAGAAGAGGGAGATAGGACCCTTCTATAAAACTGAATTACAAGGTTCCTTCGGATTATTTCGACTTCAACAGTTTAATTCGATCTTTCACTGAACATTTAATTTATGACACGATAAAATTGAAAAATTGTTGACGATGTTGTGATTAAAATTGAAGATCAGTCCTTTATTAATTCTTTGTCGACATTATAGTATTTTATGACTTTCAAAAGTGTACGCGATTTTCAAATTCTCAAACTCACGAGTTTCCAAATTTTTGAATTTTCGTATGAAGTTTCAGATTTTAAGAATCTGAAATTTCACAGTTTAAATAACTATCCAATTTCTCAAATTTAAGACTCTTCAAAAGCTATATCTCTAAATTCTCAAATTTCCAAATTATCAGGTTCCCTAATTTTTGGATACACAAATTTTCAAGCTCTTAAATTTCCAAATTTCTAGAAACTTAAATTTACAAATTTTAAAATTTTCATAGTCTCAAATTTTCAAACTCCCAAATTTCATAATTTTCAAGCCTGTAATTTTCACAATTTACGTATACCAAAATTAAAAAAAAAACTAAACAACTGAAATATTACCCTTGTAATTAACGATTAAAATAATTCATTAATTTTGAAAGCGGGACAAATCCATTTGGGTGTAACATCTTTATTTTGTTTTGCCAGCATTGCTGAATAATAAACATGCGTTATTAGGAAATACAGAAACTGTGTATTAGTGCCTACCAATATTTTTAAATTTATTGATATGCAAATCCTTAAATATCTCGCAACAACAAGAAATGAATTTGCCCCACTTTCCGAATAAATTCCTTGCATATGCAATTCGATAAAATAGCACTTCGCCACTTAAACGATATTTCGTGTTTCCAAAGTAGTTTCCAAACTTAATACAGAAAGCACTCGACCAATTCAATAGCTGCGTGTGTCTGTTGCAAAATATTTGACAGAAATAACCGGTCGATATCTATCAAGCGTGAATTCGAGTTATGTTACGATACATACATACATTTTGAATGCATCGCACCTTGATGGAATGTAAAACTTCCGTTAAACGGCTGCTCGAAAGTCGAAACTGGAAAAGCAGCGAAAAAGGAGGAAAAGAAAGGAAGAAAGAAAGAGGAAGTAAACTCTTTATGGACTTGTTTGTCGCTGCCCGGCTTTTTAGAAATTATTCGAAAAGTTCGAATCCGCGTCAGAACATAACCACAAGATCGTTTTAGACGATCATACGACAGTTAGGTTAGGTGACTTCCTCTTTTAGAGTGATTGAATGTCGAATACCAGAATTTTTATAAACAACAGTTTGAATCACGAGATCTACTTTGTAAGTCTAATTTCCGCTTAATTCTTATTTTCGAAGTTTCTGAGTCAATTTCTGGTGTATGTATACGCGCTATTTTGCTTCAACTTCAATTTTGTTATTTCCGTAAACGCTCGTAAAAGAGAACAACGCAGTTAAGTCCGAAAAGCGTACTTTTGTGAAAATCCGTGTCTTAAGAGTGATACATAAGCTTCGTTAAAATGTCACTGATGGAGTGTTCCAATCTGGACAATATTCAAGAACTTTTGTTACAAAATATATAAAATATACATTTGAATAAATAAAAGAAAGATGAGGTTCTAATCTTCTTATTTTACATAAAAATTCAAGCTAACATTATTAGAATTTGAAATAACGGAACAAAATAAGCAACAATATCATATCAACTTAAACCAACATTCAATTTTGGTAATATCGCTTTTTGGTAATAACGTTTTTCAAGAAACGTTAAATGACACTTATTACCGAACGCAGCAAAAGTTATTAACAAGGGACATTACCCAATCGCCAATCGCCGATTTTGATGCGCTTTGAATATGATATAGAACGCAAAAAAATATTTGACACGTATTTTTTTTTATCGGCCATCGTCCATGCTGAAGGGGTGAAAATGGCCCCCAAAGTTGGGGTTGCAAAACATATTTTCTCGAATATCTCAGGAACTATTAGGCCTAGACAAAAAATTAAAAGTGCAAATTTTTCTGTTTTAGAAGGCCAATAATATGGCGTAAGTGGATTTTTGACAAATTTATTTGTTTAAAAAATATGTTAAAAATTAACATTATTTTGCAAATTTTTTTAATAAAACTTTGTACTATTTTGATCAACTTTTACACATGTAAACTATAGGTCAAAAGACAAAATACGGATAAATTGGAATTTTTAATTTCGCTTGTGGAAAAAATATTATTTTTTTTTAATCCAGGTTTAACGTCGCATCTACCTTCAGGTCATTAGCGACGACTGGGTTCTATTTCCTACACTTTTATGGACTATATACTATGGTACAATTTGATTTCTTTCAGGTACTGTAGGGTATTCTCTATGTACTTTTGCGAAGTTAAGGCTTTGGTCGGTGTTATTCCATACTTTTGTCGTTGGGTCTGATATTTGTTGCATTCAAATAGTAGATGGTGGGTCGAGATATTCTTTCTGCAGACCGTGCATATTGGTGGTTCTGTTTTTTTTAAGAGGTACTCATGTGTGAGTTTACAATGACCGGTTCTAAGTCTGGCTAAGATAATTCTGTCCTTCCTCTTAATATTGCTACTGGGCATTGTTTCGTAGAAGTCTTGAGTTACGTTAAGAGTTTTTATATACTTAGAAGTTCTCCATTCTTTATTCCATGCTTGTCGTTCGATGTGGCGTACTGCGACAATGAGGTCTTGGTATGGAATCTGTCTGCAGCTGTTAACTGGCGAGGACAATGTTGCTTCTTTGGCGGTTTTGTCGGCTAACTCATTTCCTTCGATTCCTTGGTGGGATGGTACCCAGGCTAAGGTTATATAATTTCCAATGTTGTTAAGATTCGTATAAGTGTAATGGATATTTAGGATAACTTCATGTTTAGATTCAATAATTGGGTTTACTATTGCTTTGATGACACTCATAGAATCTGTGAAAATGATGAAAGGTAGGTTATTATTATTGTCCTGCATGTATTTTAAGGCTTCAAAAACTGCCCAAGCTTCTGCTGTGAAGATGGATGAGGCTTTTGGAAGAGGGATTTTTTGGATTGTACTATCGTAGACGACGGCAGCTCCTACTGCCTGGTCATTTTTTGATGCATCAGTATATATCCTTTGGTGGTTAGGGAATTTATTACATAGTCGCTGAAAATTAAATTTATGTTCAATGCTACTGATTTGATCTTTTGGGGAGTACTGCGAGGTCAGTATTGGTATCTGGAATTTTTTGGATCCATGGAGCAGGTTTCCTATGTTTACGTGGGATGATCGGGGTCGATGTGATTTCAGCAAGACTCTCGTATTCGGCAATTCTTCCATAGAATGGAATTGGAGACTTAGGTTTTTTGATTTGTAGGTGTGTATATCTATTAGTAAATATGTTATTATAGGTAGGATTATTTGGAGTGGAGGAGATTTTAATTGCATATTTTAGGCTTAGGTATATCCTTCTTTGTTCTAGTGGTGGTTCTTTTGATTCGAATAGTATGTATTATTGTCGTTGAAGTTATACGTACATTTTATACCTTCCGTTCGGTGCACAACTGATTTCTATACGTAATATTCTGGAAATTGTATTATATTACATTTTTTACACTAACTTATTTAAAAAAAAAATTTGAAGGTCCAAAGGTACCTCTATAAAAATATGTCGTTCGAGTCATATATCGCATTTGATTCGCGTTATGGACGCGTACTGGTGGCAGTATTCGACGCACGGAGGATCTTAACGCGTAAATTGTACTTGTGCGAAGTGTAATATCTTCATAATGATGTAGAATACGTGCAATTAAAGGAATTACATCTGTTGATCAAGAATTGCTTCACGATTGTAAAATATATATTATTAGGTTGGGTAACTTTGAAAATATCACTTTTTTAATAATTTTTTAATTTTTTAAAATTTTGATAAGAAATATCATATAGCCAAATAAAACTTTGACAGTTTTAAGTATTAAAAAATCGTTACTGGATTAATACAACCTTCTGATGTATGTGGTTATAGAACATGGAAAAATTTCGCGCATTAAATATTAAATCTTTTGCCTACGTTAGATTTACAAATTAACGTACGGGCATGGGACAATGGGGAGCCTGCGTTAGCTAGCTCTGAACTGCCACCCAAAAGACACGGGCTTCAGAGACCAAGCCGCTCAAATGGGGAGCCTGCGTTAGCTAGCTACTAGAACGACCCACGATCAAGTATCCAAATGGCGTATACCCGCTTTACCAGTCAAGTATTAAGAATCATTGCGGCTCTTGACAGCGAAAACTGTTCCGGCTATACTTATCCAGGAGACTTCTAGCTTGCTCAACTTCGAAAACTGTTCTGCCATTTAGGCGAGTTTCGCTCGGCCTTTTATACTCGCCAGCCTGGCAATTTCTTGGAAAACCCCCATAACGTCGAAATATATAATTGTCGTATAAATTCGCAATTAGACATTAATTATGAAAACGAACGATTTAATTACATTATCAATATCGCAATCTACATAATAGTTTATGTTCCTGATATAAAAGTAGTAATTTAATAGTGTTTTAACGAAAATCGCATTTTCTATCCTCCTCTATGTACTACGCACGACTTCTATACGGATCTGAGCTAAATGTATAAGCATACGATGCTTCTCGAACATTCCATTGAATAATATTATAATTTACAATATATACTGCAATAAACTGTCGAAATTAATACATAAGGTACTTGATATATAATGTACTGTCGGTAATTGTCTAATATTGTCGGTAACTAAACTATTCTCACGGTGGGTAATTGAATTAGAGCACAGAACTGCCATGTTGGTGACGAAAAGAAAAAAAAACTCTTCCAGGGATGTTACACAAACATATAATCGGAAAGTCATAACAGAAAACAAAATTTCCAACCTTTCGCTTAGACGTCACGCAGTCTATCTCTGTCATAAATCGTTCAAAGGCAAAATAGCACAGGCTAATTACCCCCGACGACCCTCCAAAATACGTTGACGCTAACGTATGTGTACAATGAGATACTAAATATTAGGAACATGAATGCATATATGAGGTCCATTGAGGACCCCACTTACCTAATTCGGTGCTAACTTTGATTATAACGACAATTTATATCTGTAAACACATTGAACATAACATAATAAATATAGACAGAAGCAAATAGCCGAACTTTCAGTTCACAAATGGCGGGGCTAAAAATGTTAACACAAAAAATGCAACACTGGGGTCCTCTGCGGACCCCACTGATGCATTTAAGGGTTAACGACGCTTTGCGTGTGCGAAACGCTTGCGGGGCAATCGTAGCTTTGCACTCCTGCGAGTAACTTCGACGGAAAGCAATATAATATAATATGTGCAATCCTACAATATAATATAAGAGCTTGAATATAATATACAGGGTGTATAAAAAAGGTCGGAACCCTTGAATATTTCGAAAAATATAAGTTTTATCAAAAAATGTTTCAGACAAAAGTTGTAGGGTTTAAAAAGTTCTATTTACTGGCAACATCATTTTGACCTTGAAGAGTCACTGGAAGATCACGTGAAGGTCACTTCAATTTTTTTAAATGGAACACCCTATATATTTTTGCATATTCTTGTAGCTTACCTCGAGAGCTTTCTAAAACACTATGATAAAATATTTTTTGATTAAAAACTTTTTGAGTTATTAAGGTTTGAAAGTTCCAATATTTTGATAAATTACAAAATATCTTTTATGCACAGAATAATGAGATAAATTGACTGGCGTAAATAAAATACACAATTGTTTAAAAAAAAAAAATAAATTTGCAACAATTACAAATTTACGATGTTTCAAAAAAGCTATCTTTGACATGGATACTGATCATTCCCCACTTCCAGGTACGCGGGAGTACAAGGGGGGTTAAAAATTTTAAATAGCCCCCTATTTTTTATTGCATATTCTTGTAACTTATCTCGAGATCTTTTCGGAACATTATAATAAATGATTTTTATATTAATTTTTTTTTGAGTTATAAGTTCATTTGTTTCATACATTACATCTTTTTCATCGTCTCAATGACAATACCAACTGGCGAGTGAGATATCATTTTATGTAAAAATACTGTAACTTTTAAGCCTCATAACTATGCACCCTGTATAATAATCACATGTATAATAGTCAGAGCATCCAGAAATACCAGCACTAGTGTCGAGTACTCATTTTTGACACCTTGAATGCTGAATCCAGTCTTTGTTTCTTTCCAAACGAACTATTCTGATTTATCTCTTTTGATTATAGCACTCTGACTATTCTTAGTACTTAATTTCAACTTTTTTGCTGTTTATATTGTTTAGTTGCACTGAGAAGCTAAATGGTAAATAGTAACGCAACCTTCAATTTAATATTGTTTTTTTAAACCAACAATAATAGGCTGTTCGGTTTCAATCAAATAACCCAGAAAACGAGAACATTACTTTCTATAGTTTTTATACAATATATTTTTTTGAATTAGTATTATTGAAATAGATAAAAATACTGTGAGTATATAAGTGTAAATTGACTTTATGTAAGTTAATGAATTAAAATAACATATGAAAACTCATAGAATGCGGATATTTATGCACTTCTGACACATGAAAGTATACAAAGCATACGAGGTGTGACACAAAAGTAACGAGACTAGGTCTGCAGCTTGAAAAAACAATTGAATTGGCAGCAATTGTTTTTTGTGGCATCATCCCACATACCTCCTCTATCCATGTTGCCAATTTCGATTGAATCGGTCATACCATTTGGAAGTATTGCGTTATTTAGTGAACACGTGCAACTGCATTCTGCCGGAAAAATGTCTAACGTAAAAATCGAACAGCATATAAACATCAAGCTTTTTGTAATATTTGTTGAAATCTTTTGTAACATGTGATGAGACTTGGATTTTTACCTATGACCCAGAATGTAAGCGCCAGTCAATGGAGTAGAAGTCTCCAGGATCCCTAAAACCCAAAAAAAGCACGCATGTCAAAATCAAAATTCCACATTAATGGAATTGTAATGATTGAGTGGTTTCCCAGTGGTCAGACTGTTAACCAACATTGTTACATTAAAGTCCTAAAAAGATTTAGTGAAAAAATTTGGAAAGAAA